GACCAAATGCTCAGTTCTGAAACTTATGCAATATTAAAAGAAGACGGTTTATGCAAACTTATGCAATATCTTTCTTGATATCTGAAATAATTAAATATTATGACCCACAAAAGAAAAATCAAAAAATCAATTAAAGTGGACCGGAGGGAGTAATACCAAGAGTAACTTATTTCATCAGGAGTGGACTTTTTTTTGGGGGGTGTAAAATGAAGAGAAAAATAGAATTGTGGATGTATCTTCCTGTTTTGAATTATAAAAACATAGACATTTTGTGTTTTCTTAGCTAAATCAACCAAACATGCTCTGTGCTATAAAGAAATGGCTAAAGAACAGAACATATATTATAATATATACATCTCAAGTTGTGAATAAGCTGCTCATCTAAAATAAAACACAAAAAAAGATAACACCAATGATCAGATAAATGAACAAGGAAGTACTTGTGCTTTGTAGCAATTGAAATTCAAATCTGTACACTAAGATCAAAACTTTAACTACTGTTTGAAATAAAGTTTTTGTTAACTTTAACAAACAAAAATAAAATAAAATTACTTGAGCGCTATAACATACAAAACTTTGCATGTATGCATTTGCAAAACCATATACAAAACTCTAACTACTATCTGAAATAAAGTAGACAGAAAATAGATACAAAAGAGAGACTCCAGGAGCTGCAGAACGACTTAGGAAGCAGCTCACCCCTAGGTCTTGAGGTAACGGGGGTGCGCGCCGGTATGACTGCCAATTGCACCTGCCTCAGTTCCTGCACGGTTAGTGCAGAAATGTAGCGTGAATACATAGCATATTCTTCACGTCTTACATTGGAAGATTGTCCAATGGATCGTCATCATCGCCAAACGCAGTTTCAACTGGTCCAACATTTTGTCGCTGTTGCTAGGACAGCAAATTAATCAAAATCAGTGAAAAGGCAGCAGCTATTAGCTTAGACATTGAAAATATTGAAGCCAGTGTATTTACAAACCATCACTTCATCGCGTAAAGCGATAAAGAGATGTGAATCGAGAGATTGCGCTTTATATCTGAAGCCATGTGCTTCAGAGAAGTGTGCACTTCAAACAATGACGATCCTAATGAGGAGTTGATTCTTTGAATTTCAAATTTGAGGAGTTGGATTAATGTCGACATCATTGTAAATTGGACGATAAAATTAGTTATTATTAATTGCAATGTGATTATCAACAACAACAACATCAATATACCCAGTATATTCTCACAAGTAGGATCTGGGAAGGGTAGTATCTACGCAGTCCTTACCCCTACCTTGTAAAGGTAGAGAGACTGTTTCTGGAAGACCCTCGGCTTAACAAAGCAAAATCATAGCAGTTATGACAAAGAGCTACAGAAAACGAAATAATAACAACATCCAGAAACTATAAAAACGAAGCAAAGAAAACATCAAGTAATAGTATCGATCTAAAAATTGAGAACACGAGGAATTTGATTATCATAATACCAAATTCATATATGTTTGATGTCTTTTAATTTCCTTAACTCGTGCGCTTCACTTCTAGCTTTTCGCTTAAATACCCATGGACCTTGTTGCTTCTTTGCACTTTTCAACTTAACATTGATCTTTTTAAAGCAAAGTGAAGATAACAAACTATTTCCGAGGATTTTCCGGAAATAGTCTCTCTATCTTCACAAAGTAGGGGTAAGGACTGCATACATACTACCCTCCCCAGAACCCAATTGTGGTAATATACTGGGTATGTCGTTGTTGAAGATAACAAATTAAGACTAACCTGCTCGAAAAATGCACTCATGAGGTCCTCCTGTCCAAATGGCTCATCTCCAAGAATTGAGTTAGGTTGTGATCTGCCCATAAGATTAACGCGTCCAGTTTCTTGCTCGTTAGAGAGAACTGTTTCCGCGATTGGAGCATTTGTGTTCTGTCCACTCTTCTCCAATGAAGAAATACCATGTTGTATATAGGTATCAAAGGTTGATCCAACATTCTGTAAACGCCAGTCCTGTGTCTTTTGCTGATACAATCCGCTGAAACTATCGTCGTTAGGAGAGAACCCTCTAGATCCTCTAAAGTCAGAGTTAACCTCTTCCTTAAGCATCCCTTTAGTTGCCAGAGTGGCCGTTGCTGAATTGCCACTCGCAGGAAAGCCTCTGCGTCGCAACTGCATGTTTTGGTTCAGTGAGAAATCTACCGCTGAATATGCTTGGGAAGCCTGATTGTATATACTACCTCGTGCATTGTCAACGATACCATTCCGTAAGGACTGCTTCGGTTCCACGGCTGTTGGGATTCCGTAAAGCAAGTTAACTTGGTTATTGCTGTTGTTCAGCTCTTGCTGACCCTGAAATCTCAACTTGGGATTTTCAAAGCTAAAATGGTTTCTCTGGTCTACCAGGGGAACATATAAGGAATATTTTGTTGCAGACTGACTCAATGCTGCTGGCCCGAGGGTAGCAAGACTTTGTGCAGGAAGTTGAATAGTAGCTGCAAGAGTTTGAAGATCAAGACCGTTAGGCGGTGTCCCAAAAGTTGCTTCTGAGTATCCTGTGAAAGAATAATTCAGTCCACTCTGATGCTGTGATACACCCATCGACTTCTTTAGCAACAGCCGATATTTCTGCAGCAAATGGTTGGCACTAATAAGTATTTAATCACAATCGACCACACCACCAACAAGTAGTTTAAACTAAAAGTGGTCTAACTCACACACATGCATATCCCAATTTAATATAAGTGTAACATCAATGACCGAACATTTACAACTAGTTGGTTGTCGTCTATATGGATCATTTGCTTTCATTGTGTTCTATGCTATATTTTCGCATTTATTCCTAAAGATTTATGTCTTTCGAGGCAACTCCCTTCTATGTGTTTTAGGTTTTTCCTTGTCATCTTTAGCACTATAATCACCAAAGTTTCGACCTACAGACTAGTGAAGATATCAGGGAACAACTCAGACTATATGTTGCAGATATGCAAAAGACATGAAGTCGTTCACCAACGGAACTTCTAATGCATGATATTCTTTAAAGGGGGAAAAAGTAAAGGTCCTCAGTACCTGAAGGTGGCTAGCAACATGTTCTCTTTTTAGCCAAGGAACATTCATCAGTTCCAGAATATTCTTGGGAACAGCCCCTGCATTCATAGTTAGAGTTGAGACGAGAAATATACATATATACGTCAAGATAATATTGACTTATACTTAATTGTATAGTAGAAGATCCTACAATTGTTCTGTATTTTCTGTAATTATAAAGTACAAATTGTTCTACCACTTAAGAAAGGATGAGGGCAGTGAGCGCAGATGTTGACAGAAATAGAGTCCCTTTTGTTGAGCATTAAATATGATATGAGAGTAAAAGACTCTTGACTAAGGCAGAGAGTAAGTGCAGGGAAATAGAGAAAGACACTTACATCCGTAGATGAACTCCAACAAAAAAAGGAAAAGACAACACATCTTTGGCATACGAGTATGAGGTACAAAGTAAAAGAAGCAGAAAATCAGGTAAAGGACACTCCGTTGAAGAGGAATCACTAAAAATGAGGTCACTATCTCGAAGTCATTAGCAACAAAACCGGGAGAAGAGAGAAAACGTTATACTAAATGTTACATCTGGTAAGAACTCTTTCTATCAGGTAAAAAGGTCACAGATTTCTGCAAGTAGAAAACAACCATATAAATTCCTGTTAAAAAGAAACCAATGGGGTGCCACATATCACAAAAAGGGAAATGCGTTAAGTTGTCAACAAGGCAAGGTAAATGGAGAAAGATGCATGTAAATGCATAAATGAAATCCAAAAAGGGAAAGACCACATTTGGTATAGATTGACAGAAGTAGAGAATACAACTTATGACAAGCAAGATGTGATGATGAAGAATCATGCAAAGGAATGAGATCTCTGATGCAAATATCTAAAGGTGACAGATAATACACATTTCACTTGCCAAAATAAACCAGACAATTTAGAACATCATAGAATTACATTAACACGATTAGAATCTAAGTAAATATCTAAAAGAAAGGTAAATGGTTCATACTGTCCATTCCAAGTTGATTGACAGCTTGTAGAAATTTTTCATGAAGCTCCGCGGACCAAAGAACACGTGCCTTCTTCAACGCGACCATATCATCCCTTTCTTCAGTTTCATCTTCCTCCTTTCTTTTCTTCGAGCTTTTCAAGCTCCCTTCATTAGCTGAAGACGAGTACTCAACATCTTCTGGTGGTTCCTGTGGCCATTCTCCATCTTCAACAGTGTCTGATTGATCGAACACCTTGCCCTTCCACTTGTCCTTATTTTTTCGAACAACATGCTGCCAAATGTTCTTCAGCGCCTCAATGCGTACTGGTTTGATAAGATAATCATGTGCACCATGAATCACACCTTTCATAACCACATTTCTACTATCATCCGCGGACATCACTATTCAATCACAAATGGAAGATTAAAGTCCACTGATTAGTACAAAAGTCAGCAGTTTCTAAACTTAGGAACAACAACACAGTTTGTAATACACGAAAACAAGATACTCACTTATAACAGGCAAGTCCATCTCCAAACCAATGTACTCAAGAAGCTTAAAACCATCCATGTCTGGCATGTGTACATCACTTATAACTAAGTGAAATCCGTTTTTGTTTTCGTGGAGCAAAGACAATGCAACCTCTGCTCGATTACACGTGGTGACTGGAAGAAACCATTAAACTGAAATCAATTGCGAGGAGAAGAAAAGAAAAGAACAAGTTCTTCTGTTCAGGATCAGCTTATCAACCAACCTATACATGTTCCTTGTATTTTTTCTTTTGATTTAAGACTCAGATTAACATTAAAAATTACAACTTGGTAAACTTAAAAGGGTCTGTAGAAACTTGTAAAAACAAATCCAGGTCAGTCTTCTTCCAGCATGAATTCTCAACATAACCATTTCCTAAACCACCTAAAAATCGAATTTTTAGGAACTTGCTACTCTTACTTTTTAATGGTTTAATTCTGCCTTCTTGTGAGGTTCCTCACATTGCCGGTCTCAAATCTTGATAAATTGCAGTAGGTTGACGGCTAGCACAAAGCTGGTTAACTTTTGATGAATCCTACAATCAGTGGCAAATGGAGCATATATACCACCGATTCAACTGAACCCAATATTTTTGACACGAAGTATAGATATATATATGAAACTAATCACAAAATTATCAGATATTATTTGAACTCATAATTTCAAAAGTGTAATAGTTAAATGGTAGACCTAAAGGTTGAATCCATCAAATTTCAATCCAGAATGTACCTCTACCTATTATTTACCCGTTTGGAATTGGGGCGCCGTGGTAGTTTTCACTTCTTTTTTTTTAGGTTTCCCACATGGGAGGCCTAAGGCTCGACTAATCCGGATTCAGACTTTGGATATAAAATGGTTCCTACCAAAGATAATTCTATTCCCACAGCTCAAACCCGTGATCTTTGTTTAAGGGTGAAGGAGGTACTTATTACCCCACTTGTGATCTTTAATGGCTTATCCCCTTCTTCAAATTCCTTAATTCAACAAGATTCAGGATTCCTAATAAAACCAAACATACTAAGTAGACAACGCATTCATTATTTTTCTCCCTAAAACTCAGACTCAAAATGAAAATAAAATGAATAAAGACTTAACTTTATACAATATTGCATCAAAACTTTAGAGCAGAACATTGAATACCTTCGTAGTGGCACTTCTTAAGCATCTTTTCCAAGATTTTGAGACAAGTAGGATCATCATCTACAACCAGTAATTGTAAAGTCGGAAACTTGATGGAGCTACAACTAGACATGGGTTCATTCAATAATTTTCAAGAAACTTACCTAGAAAGTTGTCACTATATATATCAATCTCTACAACACGATAGGCATAGAGTTTTTTTTGGTTTCCCTGCACAATATTGTGCTCACATTAGTGCTCGCATTGAGACTCGAATGGTGTTACCTCTGCGGCTAGGCCCCACTAATGGGACTAATAGCAGTACCTAAAAATGTTACTCTATAGCCGCTCTTAAAATAATAATCAAAAATATATATTTATTTATTTATACCATTTATTAATGCCTAGTTTATTATATTTATTAATACCTACGTTTATTCTAATCTAACAAGTTTTTTTTTTCCACTGTTTTTTTAGTGTCTAATTTAGAGTATATGGATAGGCTTGGAAGTTTGGAGTTGATTGCTATATATCAGGAACGTGTTATACTAGAAGTACTAGTTCCATTAATTTTCTCAATTTAAAACACTTATTCAGGATTAAGTTCCATTAATTTTCTCAATTTAAAACACTTATTCAGGATTAAGTCTAATTAATTTGATGATTATTAAGCTAAGTCAATATTCTGATTTACTAGTTTGACTCAAACTCTTTTTTATGATTCCGAAATTTTAAATTTTGTTTTTATATTTCATTTAAGTGATCATAAAAGTTCATTAATGACTTTACTAAATATAATTTTTTAAATGTCCTTAAGGATCATCGTAGAGATTAGTTATATAAATTTATAATATAACGATTATTTCTTATTGTTTAGCTAGAGATATATTTTAAAATATTACTTTCAGCTAGAGATATGTTTAAGATATACTAAAATTGTGTGAAATTTTTTAACTAAATTAATCTCCTTAAAACACATTAATTGTTTTTCTCCCTAAAACTCGACTCAAAATGAAAATAAATTTCATTCTTCCTTTTTTATGAAATTACATGGAAAGTTGTCACGAAACTACATAGAAAGTTGACAGTATCTCTACAACGATGTTTTTTTTGTTTCCCATTGCTATGTAGTGCTCCCACTGATGCCCGACCAATGGTGCTCCTTCTTAGGTTGTATAGTCGCTCCTTATTAATGAGAAAAATAATATTGTATAGTCGCTCTTAAAATAATAACCGAAAAAATATACTATATATATTTTTGGTATATATACACATTTCTGTATGTTATATACAAAAAATATGTAAATATTTTTGGCCACGTGTTGATTTTTGCTCATTTATTAATACCCCTCTTTCTATTTATTAATGCCTAGTTTATTCTATTTATTAATGTTTATTCTAATCTAAGGAATTTTTCCCTCTGTTTTTTAGTGTCTAATTTGGAGTATATAAATGGACTTGGAAGTTTGATTTTTTGATTTTTTTTTTTGATAGCAACAGAATATTTATATTAATACTAGTAGTAGATTTGGTTGTTACAAGTCATAGGAAACTGACACTCGTGGCGGAAGTTTGAAGTTGATTAGTATATACGAGGAACGTTTTGTACTGGAAGTACTATTTTCATTAATTTTCAATTTAAAACACTTATTCAGTATTAAACCTAATTAATTTGAGAATTATTAAGCTAATAATCTGTTTGGCCAAACTTCTAAAATTAGCTTATTTTGAGAAATGTTTTTCTCAAAAGTACTTTTCAAAAAAGTATTTTTGGTGATAAGCAGTTTGTGTTTGGCTAATTAATTTGAAAAGCACTTTTGAACAGTAATTAGTATTTGGCCAAGCTTTTAAAAACTGCTTCTAAATATATTTTTCTCAAAAGTGTTTCTTAGAAAAGTATTTTTGGAGAGAAATTATTTCTCCTCAAAAATACTTTTTTTTCCTTCTAAAACCTTGGCCAAGCACCTCAATTTTTGAAAAAAGTATTTTTGACCAAAAAAACACTTTTGGCAAAAAAACAAAAGCTTGTCAAACAGGCTATAAGTCAATACTCTTCTTTTTTTATGATTCCAACACTTGATATTTGAATTTTTATTTTTATTTAAATGATCATAAAAGTTCATTAATAACTTTAATAAATGCAATTTTTTAAATGTCCTTAAGGATCACGCAAATATTAGTTATATAAATTTATAATATAAAGATTGTTTAGTTTTATATATTACAAGTTAGTATATAATGAATAATTTAAAATATGTGTTTACTTTTTAAATAGAATAAAAATTTATTTACTACTATGCGCGTTAGTTTTATTATATATGTGTTTAATCCATATAGTACTAATGCTTACACCAACCAAATTACCTTTTAGTAGCTAAAATAAAAAACAAACCAAATTCTCCATCCTACTATAACTGTGTTTCTAATGAGTAGTAATTAAAATTGCCCAAGTTGTGAAAGATTTTATAACTAAAAAACGAATGAAAATGAAAATAGAGTTCAATTTCAAAAAACTAAACCTTAGAAAGAAAAAATGCTCTCGTTGAGAATCGAACTCAAGACCTCCCGCTTACTAAACGGGTGCTCTAACCAACTGAGCTACGAGAGCCTTATGTCATAATCTTTCAAGATTTATTTTACATTAGACATGTACAAGTATGTAATAACTTACATAATGTTAGTCACATTGAATTACAAGGAGTAAACTTAGCTAAACTGGAGATATTTTTTATGAGCTTAACTCGCATGAATTGAATAAGGACTCAAATTTATGATTGCTTCGAAGGAAATATATATGTTGTATTTTCATTAGTAACCTTTTATGCACAAAAAAATATACTCCATTAGACATGAACTACATTATAACAGCAAGTCAACATTTGATATGGCATTTTTTAAAATCTCCTTTTACTTATTTCAATTATGATGTTTTAGAGACTTTAAAATATATTCTTTAATCAACAACCTACGATCAGTAAATGCATGTTGCTTTGAAAATATTTCCCTAATATGTTTACTTGACTTACTGATACGAAACAACAACAACAACCTAGTATAATCCACTAGTGAGTGTCTGGGGAGGGTAGTGTGTACGCAGACCTTACCCCTACCCTAGGGTAGAGAGGCTGTTTCCGATAAACCCTTGGCTCCCTCCCTCCAAGAACTCCCACCTTGCTCTTGGGGTGACTCGAACTCACAACCTCTTGGTTGAAAGTGGAGGGTGCTCACCACTAGAGCAACCCACTCTTGTTAAAAATTCGATGGACAATCTTACAAATTCTTTTATTTTATTACTACTGTTATTTCTCTACTTTGGTTATCTTTATTATTTTTGTTGTCAATCATTTACTTTTTCTTTCATCTTAGCTTTTATCTCTCTAGTATTTTTGTACCACCTGTTTTGAAAACGCTTTTTTAGCCTATGGTCTTGTATACGGTCGAAATAGATTTCGGCTTTCGTACGATTGATCGAGTTCGAAATATAATCGATCGAAGTAAGACTTCGAGATGGGTTCCGAAGATGGTACAAACAAATTTCAAGTCCGAGGGGCCGATCAATGTCGAGCTCGATATTATAATCAAGCTCGAATCCAAATCAAACTATGATGCAAAGTAAAGTTGTCGAGCTTATGATCCAGAGACCGACCAACATTGACCTCGAATCAATTCAAGGGTCAGAGTCAGAATCGAGCTCAAGCCAAGATCGAGAGCTCGAGTCAAGACCGAAAACTCGAGTCAATATCGAGCTTATAGACAAGAGCCGTTGCAATCCCACTAGAGGAGAGAATCTTGGCAGGAATTGTAAAAAAATTAATTTATCATGGGTCTCCCACTATGTATTTTTAATTATATCTAAAGTAAGATCCCTCTAATATAAAGGGGATGGTTATCATTTCTGTAGAAGACAAGTTTTTGCTAACATTGTAATTCAAGCACTATATTCTCCTATAGTGAAGAGTTATTCTTTCAAGCTTCTTAATTTAATTCCACTTGTTTAGTCCTAAAATTCATCTTCTTTACAACCTTGTCTATTTTGCATTATTTGCAATCTATAATTGATATTTCTATTTATCCTTACGATTTGTATTAAGTTACACCACATATCCTTAGAACTACGTACAAATTCAACTCTATCCGTTTTTCGGGTAAACAGTTTGGCGCCACAGTGGGGCAAAGGATAACGGTAGTTATTTGATATGAATCTGCAAAAATACACCGTTGTGTTTTGCACTTGTTTCCGAAAATATCTTGGATTTCGGATTAGCAACGACTAACTACCAGTCAAATGGCCACACCAATCGATAACGAAGCCGGTCTTCAAGATGAGAATAATAAATTTGACACCCAATACCGAAAGACCATTTGCCAATGCCGTTGGAGCTCGAATCGGAGCGCCGATAGATATCAATTCGCATGTGGTCATTGAGGCGAACCTACATTCTGAACCCGAAAATAGCATTCATGGTGGCACTCGGTCTGCAGCTCGAGATTCCCATAACGTCGAGGAAAACGGCATCAGCTTGCGTATGATCTTCGAAATGCTACAAGCTCAACAGGCAGCAATAGCTCAGTTGCAGAGCCAAACCCAGCTATAAAGCAGGCCGGAACCCAATCCACCTTGAGAAATCACCCACATAACGGAGCCAGCCATAGTGAAGTCAAACGAGCAAGAATCGGGGACTACTCCCAAAATTGCTAAATTACTCTAGGAACTCACAAAGCGAGTCGAAGCCAATTATAAAAAAGTAGAAACATATAATTCCAGGGTCGATCAGATCCCGGGAGCTCCACCAATGATAAAAGGGTTAGATTCAAAAAAATCGTGCAAAAACCTTTTCCCTCGAGCGCAGCCCTAAAACCAATCCCCAAAATATTCCGTATGCCCGAAATTACCAAATATAACGAAATGACCGATCCCAACGAGCACGTCACTTCTTACACATGTGCCATCAAGGGCAATGATTTAGAAGAGGATGAAATTGAATCTGTGTTGTTAAAAAAATTCGGAGAGACCCTCTCGAAGGGAGCAATGATTTGGTATCACAACCTACCACCAAATTACATCGACTCGTTCGCCATGTTAGCAGATTCTTTTGTGAAAGCACATGCCGGCGCCATAAAAGTCGCAACAAGGAAATCAGACCTCTTCAAGGTAAGACAAAAAGATAACGAGATGCTGAGGGAGTTCGTATCTCGTTTTCAAATGGAACGAATGGATCTACCACCAGTCA